CACAACACCTTAACAACAGCTTTCCCTGCAGGAGAGATCCACCACAGCCTAAATGACCTGAAGGAAGGCAAACATCAACTTCAGCCTTATTCCAGACTCTGTTGAGGAAAGAGAAATCCAAGAAAAGGGCGATGAGGACAAAAGCAAAGACACTAAGACAGCGTGACCTCTGTCACTGCTGCGTCCAGCGGCCAACACAGCCTGACTCCTGGCCCTCACACTAACCCACCAGTATAGCCAGTGTCTTCATTCAAATACACCATTCTGCCTTCTAACTATTGGGCATGTTCAAAGGCAGTAAACACAGTATGAAGAGGCAGAGTGAGCATCAGAAACAGATTCACCTAGAAATGAATCATCGAATCTGGACCTTAAAATGTTGCTGTGGGGCGTTGGTGGCGCACGCCTTTAATCCCAGCACTCGGGAGGCAGAGGCAGGTGGATCTCTGTGAGTTCGAGGCCAGCCTGGGCTACCAAGTGAGTTCCAGGAAAGGCGCAAAGCTACACAGAGAAACCCTGTGTCTCAAAAAACCAAAAAAAAAAAAAAAATGTTGCTGTGATTATATACTAAGTACTCTGTGGCTAAAAAGGGGGGCAGGAGAACAGTGTGCAGGAACAGGTGGGTAATGTAGGCAGAAATTTGGGAGCTCAGAGAGCTAGCATCAAAAAGAGATGTCTGAATTAAAAACCACGGCAGCAAAAGTGAAAAGTGCCCCAGGCAGGCTCATGAGGACATCAGACACTGCCAGAAACAGAGAGAGACTAAAGGCCTGTGCATAGAAACGCCTGGTATTTCAAAGCAAGCAGAAGGAACAGAACAGAAATAATCAGAGAGACTAGAATATTTGCAAGAGGTGTAACACACACACATAGTGGGAATGCCAGACCAAGCAAAGAAGGAAATGGAAGAAATAATGAAGGGGAAAAGCAGCTGATATATTTTCATGTGCATGTTATTTGTTTTAAAGAACCCACTTTATTTTTGGTTTTAAAACTTTTTCCTTTTTTTAAATTTGTTGTTGTTTTGTTTTATTGAGACAAGGTTTCTCTGTGTAAACCAGGTGGGCCTGCCTCTGCCTCCCAAATGTTAATATTAAAAGCATGTGCTATTACACATGACTGATCTTTTTGTTTAATACAGTGTATTTTGATTATATTCTTTCCCCTTCCCCAGACCAAAAAAAAAAAAAAAAAAAAAGGAAGAACAAAACAGGAAGGCACACAGAAGAACCACATAACCACATAATTCACTTTGTGTTGGCCAACTGCCTCTGGGCACAGGGCCTATCCTGGAGTGTGGTTGATATACCAAGCGACACTCCACTGGTGAAAACTGATTTTCCCTTTCCCAGCTAGTCTCAATTGCAAATACTTTCTTCAAGCTTGTCTGAAAAAACCCCACTTTAAATTAAACTAAAAGAAAAACGAAGAGTAAAGGGGTAGAGAACACTGTATACATAAATGCTCACACTCATCAAAAGAAAACTGGAATGGTTCATTTTACACAGGGCCACTAACTAACAAAAGAAGTGTTTGATAAAAAGAGGGAAATTACATAGTGATAAAGAAGTAAATTTTCCAAGGAAACATACAGTTATTCCACAAAGTACACAAGGGGAAAATGCATAGAGCCACAGGGGAAGTAGATAAATCCTCTATTACAGTTGTACATGTCAATACCCGTCTACAAGAAATGGACAAATCCATCCATCAGGCATAAATGGGTAAGGATAAAGTATATCAGTAATCATTCAAAGGGGGTCTACTTGACATTTATAGAATAGTTTAATCGACAAAGCTAAAATTACATTATTTTCAAGCTCACATGAAATTTTCACTAGGGTCATAAAATGAACCTAAGAAATTTAAAGACTAGACATCAGTTGATCTATGCTATCAAACAACAGTAGAATAAAACTACAAATCAATAAATAGACATGGAAAATTTTAAAAATTCATTAAATAACCAGATCAAGGGAATATCAAGAGACATAATCAGTTTCTACAATATTTTAAAGGAGACTAACCAAAATATTTTTATTTAATTTTTTTTCATTTTACATACCAACCACAGATACCCCTCCCTTTCCTTCTCCTCCCTCCCCACTTCCCCCATCCCCCATCCACTCATAGGGAGAAAGGCCTCCCTTGAAGAGTCAACACAGGCTGGCATACCAAGTTGAGGCAGGACCAAGCCCCTCCCCCACTGCATCCAGGATGAGCAAAGTATCCCATCATCCGGAATGGGTCCAAAAAGCCAATTCATGTATCCAAGATAAGTCCTGGTCCCACTGCCAGGGGCTCTATAGACAGATCAAGCCATACAACTGTCACCCACATTCAGAGGGCCTAGTTTGGTCCCATGCAGGTTCCCCAGCTGTCAGTCCAGAGTCTGTGAGCTCCCACTAGCTTGGGTTAGCTGTCTCTGTGGTTTTCCCCATCATGGTCTTGACCCCCCTTGCTCCTATAATCCCTCCTCCCTCTCTTCAGCTGAACTCCAGGAGCTCAGCCCAGTACTTAGCTGTGGGTCTCTGCATCTGCTTCCATCAGTTAATGGATGTAGGTTCTACAATGGCAATTAGGGTAGTCACCAATCTGATTACAGGGGAAGGCTAGTTCAGGTACCCTCTCCACTATTGCTAGGAGTCTTAGCTGGGGTCATCCTTGTGGGTTCCTGAAGATTTCCCTAGCATCAGGGTGTAGCAGGAATCTTAAAAGTACTTATTAATAAAATCAAACCCGAGGCCAGTTATTGGGGTCAATGCTGGTAGATCAGAGAGACA